GATCCAGGGCCCGGCCGCGGGGCGGCTGCCCGGGAACCGCCGCGGAGCCGCATCCGGGCTCCCCGCCGTAGCGGTACCGCCCCGGAGCGGGCTGTGCGGGACCCTTCCCCGGGCAGGGATCCCCTGCGGCTGGGCGCTCGGGGCGTCCCTCCTGGCGCTGGAAGGGGACTGGCCCTGCTCCGCTGCCGGGGGCTGGGGTGTGAGTAAGGCTGGGCCCCCATGCGTGGGACGCCCGTGGGGCTGGCCCTGCTCTGCTGCCCTAGGGATGGGAGTTAGTGCGGGGCGTGGGCGGCGCTGCCCTGGAGAGGGTGGGAGCCCAGGGGCTGGAGGGGGCAGAGACCCCCTATCTCAGCGGGTACAGGGGACCCTGCAGAAGTGTTGGGCAGTCACTGGGCCACATCAGGCCCTTTGTGTGTAGCTCTGGGGGGGGGCGTGGGCGGCGCTGCCCTGGAGAGGCTGGGAGCCCCGGGGCTGGAGGGGGCAGAGACCCCCTATCTCAGCGGGTACAGGGGACCCTGCAGAAGTGTTGGGCAGTCACTGGGCCACATCAGGCCCTTTGTGTGTAGCTCTGGGGGTCTCCCCGCACGCTGGGGAGTATTCTCCATCCCCGCTGCCTTCTCTTGGACGCTGCTGTGGGGATTCGGTGCCCTGCTTCTGGCAGTGCTCAGGAGGGAGGGCCACGGCACATTGGCTCAGCTCAGGGTGAGGAGGCCCTGGCAAGAGAAAGGAAGCTCCACTGAAAGCTTTGACCCTCTCCATCTCTTGGCCAAGCTAAATGACAGCCTTGCCTCCCCTGCAGCCCCTTCCAGCCAAGGATCACAAAGAACCAGACAAAGAACCTTTGGTATATATGGTTGTGACTACTTTCTTCCACTATTTGATCTGAGGAAGTGGGTCTGGCCCACGAAAGCTCATCATCTAATAAACCATCTTGTTAGTCTTTAAAGTGCTACATTGTCCTGCATTTTGCTTCAAAGAACCAGACAGACACTGGTAACTGAACCTTCATTCTTCCCCCACAAGGCAGGTGAGTCCACGTAATTCTCAGGGAAACTGAAGCACAAGTCTGATATTGAGGGAGGGACTAGGAATGTGGCCCAGATGACTGGCACATAGTAGGCTATGCATGTTTGATAAATATTTCTGTCCTTAAACGCTAGTCTAGCAATACTGTGCTCTGTTAAACAGCTGTGTTCTACCCCAGAGGTGGCTGCATTTCAGTGGTGGACAAGGTGATCTCTGTATTTTCTCACAAGGGTGTTGTGAGGAATTGTTAAAGGCGTTACTGAGTGTGGAATGCCCACAAAGGGTGTAAAGCACATTGAGGAGTAAGGGAATCCTCCCACAAGCAGGTTCTGTACAAGTGCAGTGTATTGTCATTTTTAGCCTGGTGAGATCTGAAGTGAGAAGCACACACTGTAAGAGATGTTCCAGATGGCACATGCTGCAGACTTCACAGTGAGGATTTAAAGTGGAGGTTTAAAGAAGAAGCCTGATCATGAGTGGCAGAAATGGGAGATCGGAGTCACAGGGAAGATGTAGTGAGCTGGAGCAAGTTGACAGAGGGTTTCAAAAGGAAGGGGAGCAGTTTTTAACAAGATCTTAAAGCAGGGGTGGCCAAGTTACAGCCCAGGGTCTGGATCCGGTCCGCCAAGCCTTTTAATCTGGCCCGCAGCCTACCCCACTGGACCCACAAGCAGGGAGCAGACCTAGGGCTCAGAGCAGCTGACTGCTCCATCTGCCTCTCTGAAGAGAGGGAAACTTGGCATGCTGCAACTCCCTTCCCCCTCTTCATCCAAACTGCCTCTTAGACCCCACACCCTCTCCTGCACCCCAGTCCCTTACCCTGAGCACCCTTCTGCACCTAACCTCCGTCCCAGACCCCACAACCACTCCATAGAAAAGTGCGGCTCTTGAGCACTTTCGAAAATCTTGGAGTGGCCCCCATCAAAAATTATTGCCCATCCCTCTCTTAGGCGCTATGTAACGCAATCAGGGCTTTTTCAAAAGAGAGCATCCAGACTGCCTGGGTGCTCTCTTTCAAAAAAGCGGCTTGCTTTTTCAAAAGAACTGGTTGTAGTCTAGATGCTCTTTTTCGAAAGAGGCTCGCAGTCTAGATGTAGCCAGTGACTTCACTTCTGGTTTTCTTTGCTGGATGTTTGTTTTGTTGCCAGCTGACTAAGCTGTCTGTATTTTGCAGGGAACGTTCCTGAATCCTGAGGCAAACTGGTGACAGATAAGACACTAAAGCATGAAGAAATTTGTAAGTAACCAGATTGTATTCTTCAGTGATGCTCTCAAACCCATAGGTGACTTGTGGTAGTACCTAGAAAGTGCACTGCGCCCCTGAACCCCACCAAAATTTTAATTGCTCAGTGGGGTGCCCCTCCCTATCCCCCTCTCCCTGCTGGCACCAGTCACCCATGTATCAAACCCCTCCTCCAGACCCTGGAATGTAGGACCATATTGATGGCAAAATGGGCTGGGATCACAGAACCAAGGAAAAAGTTGCAGGCAGACAGGAAATGCAAGTGGGCATTGGGCATCATGCCTGTCTGTATTCTAGCTGATTAAGAATTTATGTGGTGGCCATCTGGAAACGTTTACCAACAACCAGCTTAGGGAGCTGGTTACCTGGAGTCTTTTGCCCCAGTTAGATTCCTGATAAATAGCCTCTAGCTGCAGAGGACAGGAGAATACACGGGGAGCCATGTGGCTTCAAGGTGCTTCTCCCACAAAGTGACACTGGAGAGCAGTGGGGCTGACAGCCACTGTGGGCTCTGGGGCAAGGTGTGTGTGGGAATGGCCCCGTGCCCTCGGAAGGGGTGGGGCCTCAGACAGTAGGGGCAGGGCTGAGGACAGGAAGCCCTTAGTGCTGGCCAGAACACGGCATGCCTCCCTCAGCCCTCAGAGCCACACAGCAGCTCCCCAGCAGCAATTCAAAGGGAACCCCTTTGAACCTCCAGGCCTCGGGGAAATTGCCCTATTTGCCCCCCTCCCATCAGTGGGACTGCTGTTGAGTGCATCAGTGACAGCCTGCTAGGGTTCCCAGAGCTGTGAACTGTTGTGTTACCTTCTCCTAGTGAGAACTTTTCTGCTGCTACCCTGAGTCACAGCTCCCTGTAATGCCGTGCCAGCTTATCTGCCTTGCAGGCAACCTTTCCAGGACTCTGCCTCTCTTTTTTCCATCCATACGTGGAATAATTTTTATTATGTGCACCGAGGCATGTGCACCACCAGTAGAAACACATGGTGCCAGCTGTGAGTGCTCCGCTAATCAGCTGGGTGGCATTTGAATCTCTCCTGGGGGGCTGCCCAAACACTCAGCTATTTGATCTGAGGAAGTGGGTCTGGCCCACGAAAGCTCATCATCTAATAAACCATCTTGTTAGTCTTTAAAGTGCTACATTGTCCTGCATTTTGCTTATACAGAAACACTGGGCTCTGCCAGTCCAAACCTTCTCTAGCAGGCAGTGAACTCCAGTTCCTCAGAGGTCTATCTTCAGTACTCAGCCCCTCTGACTGTAGCAACCACCGCACCTTATCGAGTTCACTGCTCATTCAAAGACAATTCTCAGCAGTTTCTTGCCGTACCTGGAGGTTACAAACCAGCTGTTTCAATCAAAGCTGGTTTATAATGATGTTAAATGTTGAGTAATTTACTAGTCGAGAAGTCGATGGAATTTCAACTACTCAATGGCATTTCAAAGCCATGCTGCATGGAGCTGACCCCGGGCTCTATGATTCCTGGTGCGCTTGATATTGATCGGACCCTCCCTGAGGCTCAAGCCAACCACGGATAGGACAGAGGCTGAGGTTTCAGTCTAAACAGGAACACAGCAGCACATAACCTCAGAGCTTTTTAAGGCTGGGCCGTTTATCAGCGCTGCAGCCTCTCGCTGCTAGATAGGAAGTGAGTCATTCTGCACTAGAACAATCGCACGCAGCAGATAAATGGCCTGTCTGCACATTTGCTGAGCCTCCCAATTCTGATGCTTGACTGAAGGTTTCATATCAAATTGTAATTGCTGCCAGCCAAAGAGTGCAGCCCCGCTCCGGGTTTGTGATCAAGAACACAAAATGCACAGTGATGCTTGGCTTCCTGGGGACTGCTGTGTAATGAAACCAGCCAGAGAGAGCTCGCCCCTGCGAGGCAGAGAGAGTTGAAGGATGGAGGTAGCGGATAGTAACTCTACACAGGGCTGTGCAAAGAGGAACAGTGGGTGCTGGTGATGGTCACAGCTATAACCCCTGTTTCCCTGTCCTCTACCTGGCTGTGCACACTTGGCTGATTGGTTGGGCGGCATTTGGATCTTTCCAGGGTGTCTGTCCTAGTGCTCAGTTTACAGGAAATTCTGGGTGTAATCTCCTGTTTCCCTGAACCCTGCCGAGGTGTATCCTGCTGATTGCATAGGCAGGTGTTCTGTGAAAGGGAGTGTTATCCAGTGGCTAGAGCAGCAGTTAGGAATCAGAGCTCCTGGGTGCTTTGCTGTGAACGTCCTGTGTGACCACAGGCAAGGTGCTTCATCTTCCTGCACATCAGCCTTTCCTTGGCAGCAAATGCTAAGTGATGTTATCTTGTGGGCGTGCTGTGAGGCTGAACACAGGGAGGAAGCTCTTTGGGGGTGAGGGAGCACACTGTAGATCCCCCTTCCACCTTGTAAACATCTATCTCAGTCCCTCTCACCTGCTTCTAAAAGCCATTGCTTTCCCCAGGTATTACCTGAATCAGTTGCAGCTGGCTCCATTTCCTTCCCATTATGCATCCCCCAGCGTGTTCAGCTGAGAACACCAAGGGGCTTTGATTACATTGTATTGCACATCTCTCAACTTGGGGATTGTAACCAGGTGTTGAGGTCCACTGCAATCACCCTTGTCCTTCCCATGCTGCTAAAGAGGTGGCGGGCCCCCTCCCACTGTGGAAGAAGGAAGAACCACGCCCATTGTTTTGTTTTCCAGGATGCTTACAGCATTCAGAGCACATTCCCCCTTGCACAATGAGAGCCCTTGTCACCAGTGTTCCCTGTAAGCTGAGCGCTTGTAGGGCCACTCAGGAGAGATTCAGATGCTGCCCAGCTGATTAGTAGAGTGCCCACAGCTGGGTTTTTTGTTTGTTTCTAATGGTGGTGCCCATTGCACATGACTCGGTGCACAAAAATTTATTCCACACCTAGATGGAAAAGATTAGAGGGAACGTTGCTGGTCACTAGAAAGCAGTCACCCCTACTGCTGGCATGTACTGAGTTCTCAGCAGCAAATCCTGAGCCTTCCTTCTGAATGCATTGCAGGTCTGTCTGTTCTTAACTCTGTCTGCTTGTGCTTTGCTCTGCATCGTGGCCTGCCTGCACTTCTGCCTGCAGCTGTGTTGGGCCAGCTGTAAGCAGCTGGAGGACCATAAACGTCCCTTGGTGATGGTGCCTGGAGCCCTCAGCCTTAAGGGATACAGTCGTGTTCCTGATGGACAGGTGGGTTAAAGTTCTCGCTGTGAATGGGTGGGGAGAATCTGAGCTAGTGGTTAGAGCACAAAGCTGGGAGTTAGGGTTCCTGGGTTCTATGTGCAGTGTCACCGTGTGCCGTAGGGTGAGTCACTTCACCTAGCATTGCCTCTTTTCCACCACTAAAGAAGACAAGGTACTTACGTTCCCAAGACTTGAGGAATGTTTGCACCATGTTCGAGGCTCCTAAAATGCAAAGCATTGCCCACGGGACTCCTGGGGCTCCTGCTGGGATAGCAAAGCCCCCTGGGCTCATTCAGAGCACCAGGAGCCTATTGAGTCTCTGCTGTCCATGTCCTGGGACAAGCTCAAAGCAAAGCACGTCTGACCTCTGGAGTCATGGAAAACCCCACCCTTTGGTGAGGGCCTCAGTTAGCATGTGCTGCTCCCAGGCTTCCAGGTGCAGCCAAGCGATATTCAAGGGAGTTGAGAGAGGCCAGTTCTTACCTGACTTTGGCCCTTGTAGATGTGGCTTGAGAATGACACCGCCCTGGGCCTGCAGTGGGGCGTTGCAGGGCGGGCTTCAGTGGGGAGGTGCTGCTCCCAGGCTTCCAGGTGCAGCCAAGCGATATTCAAGGGAGTTGAGAGAGGCCAGTTCTTACCTGACTTTGGCCCTTGTAGATGTGGCTTGAGAATGACACCGCCCTGGGCCTGCAGTGGGGCGTTGCAGGGCGGGTGGGTCAGAGCAGTGCCCTGGAGGGCATGGGGGAGGGGCGGGTGAGTAAGAGCAGTGCCCTGGAGGGACGGGGGAAGGG